TCAGAGAGGTGGTGTGAAATTTCCCTCCTGTTCATGTTCTGGAAGGGGTGTATGGAACAGTTTTGTCCATGGGGGCTTGAGCTCTGGGTGAGGAGGTGGCCAAGCAAAGTTGTATACCAGTGCGAGGAGCTAGAGGTCTTTGAGATCTCATTTGATGGGTGCCAGCTCTGCAGACCCTTCTGGGCTCTCCTCCTCTCTAAGCTGTTCCCAAGGCCCACATACCCCAACTCCTCAACCACGCATTTGAAAGATCTGGTTTTTGCCAGATGAAGCAAAAACCCTTGAAAATCCCAATGTACAAGACATTTCTGTCTGCCTAAACAGCTGCTTTATTGAGAACATTGAGGCAACTTGCTTAATTGCTTTGTTTTTTTTTTTTTGTCTGCCACCTGGGGTGCCCACTTCAGTTTCCAAGTCATCATCGTGACCTGGGCTGGGTAGCCACTGGTCTAAGGGTGTCTTTCTGTTCCTATCATAGTTACGGCTACAATGACATTGTCACCATCCCAGCTGGGGCCACTAACATTGACGTGAAGCAGCGGAGCCACCCGGGTGTGCAGAACGATGGGAACTACCTGGCATTGAAGACGGCTGACGGGCAATATCTGCTCAACGGCAACCTGGCCATCTCTGCCATAGAGCAGGACATCTTAGTGAAGGGGACCATCCTGAAGTACAGTGGCTCCATCGCCACCCTGGAGCGGCTGCAGAGCTTCCGGCCCTTGCCAGAGCCTCTGACAGTGCAGCTCCTGACAGTCCCTGGCGAGGTCTTCCCCCCAAAAGTCAAATACACCTTCTTTGTTCCTAATGACGTAGACTTCAGCATGCAGAGCAGCAGAGAGAGAGCAACCACCAACATCATCCAGCCGCTGCTCCATGCACAGTGGGTGCTGGGGGACTGGTCTGAGTGCTCCAGCACCTGCGGGGCCGGCTGGCAGCGGCGAACTGTGGAGTGCAGGGACCCCTCCGGCCAGACCTCTGCCACCTGCAACAAGGCTCTGAAACCCGAGGATGCCAAGCCCTGTGAAAGCCAGCTGTGCCCCCTGTGATCCAGGGGGCAGGGGCCAGTCTTGTGCTCCTGGATGTGGGGTACTGGGGTGCAGACAAGGGTCTCCACTGTGGTGACTACATATCAAGGCAGCACGGCCAACCCAGGCCTCCCATTGCCGCAGTCCTCTGGTACTGCACAAATTCCTACAGGAGAAGAGGAGAGGGGTTGGGGCGGCAGACCCTGTCGTCAGCTGTCCAGTGGACTGGACCTTGCTCGGGTTCAAGTAGAGGGCATAGGTTAAAAGGTAAAAGTGCACTTATTGACTCAGACAGAACACTCACCGTCAGTCTGTTTGCAAAGGACTAGCAAACTTAAATGAAAAAAAAATTCTATCTGGTTTCCCCGATACATAATCTACCTCAGAGGGGAAAAAAATTAGTATAAGACAGCATGGGGTGGGGAGTCGATGGTGAATGTCACAGCAGGCTCCAAAGCTGCACCCAAGCTGTCTTCGAGAATGATCACGACAGTGTTCAGTGTTAAAATCCATCACCTGAAGGGCCGCAGCATCACAGGGTTTTGGAGAGCCACCTGTTCTCATGCTGCCACCTGCAGGGGTGGATCCATTTCAAGTATTTATGCCAATGTGTCTCTGAACTAAAGTGTGATCTTATGCCAATGCAGTGGTCTGCTCTGGTTCATTGTTTCTTTGGAAAGAGCAGGGACCTAGAACCCAGGGATGGAGGCTGAAATTAGGTCAGCTCACCTTGAATTCATGCTGGGCAGCTGGCTCCTTGCCTGCTCTGGGTCCTCACAGATCTGCAGAATCCAGCTCATTCGAGCAACTTTCATTGGCATGATCTAGACCAGTGGTTCTCAAGCTTTCATTAGGATCATCTAGAGGGCTGGTGAAAACAGATTGTGAGGCCAGGCAGAGCGGCTCACACCTGTCATCCCAGCACTTTGTGAAGCCCAGACAGGAGGATTGCTTGAGCCCAGGAGTTCAAGACTAGCCACAACAACATGGTGAGACCCTGTCTCTACAAAAAATTTAAAAGTAGCCAGGCACGGTGGCTCACGCCTATAATCCCAGCGCTTTGGGAGGCCAGGGCGAGTGGATCACGAAGTTTGAGACCAGCCTGACCAACATGGTGAAACACCATCTCTATTAAAAATACAAAATTAGCCAGGCATAGTGCCACACACCTGTAATCCTAGATGCTCAGAAGGCTGAGACAGGAGAATCGCTTGAACCTGGAAGTCAGAGTTTTCAGTGAGCCGAGATCTCACCACTACACTCCAGCCTAGGCGACAGACTGAGACTCCGTCTCAAAACAATAAATAAAAAATAAAAATAAATAAAATCAGTTGGGCATGGTAGTGCAGGCCTGTAGTCCCAGCTACTCAGGAGGCTGAGGTAGGAGGGTCTCTTAAGCCCAGGAGGTTGAGGCTGCAGTGAGTCATTTTCATGCCACTGCACTGAGCCTGGATGACAGAGTGAGACACTGTCTCAAAAAAAAAAAAAAAAAAAGTAAGAAAACACAGATTGTGGGGCCCCATCCCCAGAGTTTCTGATCTAGTGGTTGGGGTGGCCTGAGAGTCTGCATTTCTAACAAGTTCCCATGACTGACATGGAGGCTGCTGGCTTGGGAACCACACTGTGAACGCCTGTGTTAGAGGAAACTTCCACCTGGGATATCACAGTGGCTATGCGATGCCTCCAGGCTCGTCATTCGTGAGAAATAATATCCCCTTCCTCTCTGTGAGCTACCCCATCATCCTGTTACATGCTGCCTGCCTCTTTTTAGTTTAGCTGGGGGCACCAGATTCTCTCAGGCCCTCAGGAATTCTAAGCCTGAATTTAAGTAACATAGTCCCAGTGACCTCAGCACCTGTCTCCACCCCCACCCCCACCAAATCTCATCCCCATCTCACAATTCCTTTGGCCCCAGCAACTTGCAACTGTCCCAATAAGCCCTTTTATCCACAATGTCATTGCCGCCAGGCATCTGAAGTCACCTGAGAGCTGCCAAAGCCCTTCCTTCGCTCCATAGCTCCTCGTCTCTCCTGTGGCTCAGAGGAACATTGGCTCAGTCTTCCACATGGTCTGGTGCAGAGGGAACTTACATAGTCCTTGGTCACAAATGGGTGACAAGAAACGGACAACATCAAGAAATGACATTCTAGCAAAAGAGGGAAAATACTCAAATGTGCATCTTGTCATTTTTTCACCACTGTGGCCCCTCTGGCCTCCCCTTCCGATATGTGGTACCATGCGCAGAGAAGAGGCCATAGGGGCACTAGGCGAGGCCATGGGATTCCAGCCCTCTGTCCCCCTTATCTGCTCTCTACATGATGACGGATGACACAGAGTTGGTCACTCCTTCCTGTCTGCCTACACTTTTCAGCGTGTGGGAGGCTGGGCTTACCTAAACATAAACAGGCACACACACAGGCATGTTGTTGATGACTAGCAAAGCCAGATTATTTCCCTGCTGTGCACCCGTTTTGTTGAGGCTGATGTATGCTTCCACAGCTCTTCATCACCTTCCATTTCTCACTCTCCCCCCAAAAATGCCAAGGGTGTCCCCCTTAATGGCCTAGGCCAGGCCAGCTGTGCCATCCCTGCTGCCTGCATCGTTACCAGGCACAGCTTTGGCCCTGGAGTTCAGCTGGCAGCAGAGCTGCTGATGTGCAAAGCAGAATGGAATCCAGCTTGGCTCCCCCAGCTGTGTGGGCTCGGCGAGGCTCTCAGAGCGCATACTTGTTTGTGTCTGGAAACTCAACAGCTGCAGCTTAGGGACTCAGAAAACAGATCTGCAGAGGAAGACCACACTATTATCAGCCCCGGCCAACCACCACCACTCTTTTAACCCAGAGAAGGCAAGACTGTATTTCCTCTGCTTAAAGATTGTATTTTCCAGCTAGTGTTCCGAATGGAAACTGGTACACCCTTCTAATGAAAGGCCCTGACTCGGCAGGTAATTTGGTCACTAACCTGAATGCTCCAGGCACCTGTCAGAAATACTTAGAAGGTGGTACAGTAGCATAAAGTTAATTTTCAACCTTTCATTTTTAAGATAAGGGAATCTTTGTCTGGGGTTTATTCCCTGCCCTTTATTCCTCTATCACTGACCAGAGGGTTTTGTGAATCTACAAAAGTATGCGATATTACCATTCCCAGCCCACTGTAGCAGACCACCCCCTCTCCCAGGAACGTATTCTAAGGGTAGTGGGACCCATCTCACTAGATCCACCTCTTGTTCTCTGATGATATCCACATGGTTCTAAACCCTTTGTGCTTGAACTTTTTAACCAAGTGGCCCTTTCACTGAGGACTCTACCTCTTTTCTGGTGTCCAAACATATCAACCTTCCTTCTTTCCTCTTGAGTGCACTTCAGAGTTGTTTAAAACCACCCCTCCCTCCCCCACCCCCCAAAAAACAAAACCACAAATGACAGGAACAATTGGAAGGTTCTTAAGGGATACTAGCTTTTGCTTTGTCTTGATATTTTCCACTTGTGGTCCAGGGCAGATAAAGAGGGAGGCCTTGTCAGCCCTGCACTGCGGAGTCTGCAGCATCGAGCAGCTGTGTGTACTGGGCTTTCCCGCATGGCCCAGACTCCCCTGCACAGGTACCCCTGGTCCCTAGACGGGAGGCTTGTGAGCTCCGCAGCAATATCTATGCCACGTGCTCCAGCCCAGATCGCCAGGTCCCTCCATGAACCTGAAGCATTTCCTTTGCCATTTGGGAATTCAAAATGATTTCTCTTTAAGTGTGAACAGGAAAGTGAAATTTACAAAAGAAGACTGGACATAGCATGATGCTTGGGTTTCCAGATTTCTGCTGCCACAGACTTATCACTTCTCATTGCCCCATGATGAGTTGAAGCTACATTTCGGAACGCATGGCCCCAGAAAACAGGAGATGGGGTGAACATCATGAGGACAGTAATGAAGTCTTCTGTAAGCCTAGGTTACTGGCCCTGAGACGTGTCCTCTGCCCTCCTCCACTCCCATTCTGCTCTGTGCAATGTGGGAGGGAATTCCCCAGGTGAAGAGAGGTTCGTCCCTGCCTAGAATTCCCCATCCCTAGCTGCACCGTGAGTCAGACACCCAGGCTCCCCAAGCCCCAAACGTGCTCCATCAGTAAGTACTGGGACAGGACGCAGAGGAAGGGAAGGATATAGCCACATTCCGTCCCGGAGGACAGCAGGCAGGGGTTGCTCCTCTTTGTGGCCAGGGCTGAAGGGCAGTCTATCTTATGGGGAAAACTCTCCTCTCACACAGCATGTTTTCCTGGGGCCTCCGCTGAGCTCACCATCTTGGGAAAGCTGCATGTGGAATGTAGGAAAGAAGTCACCCATCTAAGCCGACGTCTTCATTGGCTCAATGTCAATGATCACTAATGCGACAAATACTGTGGTTATATTGATCGTATATATGACAACGTTCTAAACAATACAGGATAACAAAACGAGCAACAGTCAAAGCTGGCATGCCCAGCAAGCAGAGTGGGTGGGCTGTGACTCCCACACTTTCCCTGCCCCTTGTGAGCCCCTCCCAAGTGCCCATGTGCTTCCCAGGTCAACACTGTAGAATGACCTGACCAGATGTAGTAGCCAGTACGTGTGCCCCTCCAGAGCTGGTGCCACATTTCCCTGGCTTATTCTTCTTCAGGTGAGGAGCTTCTCTGACCTTCTACTTTGGAAATAGCAGGACTTGCTTAAAACTGGGTGCCAGCCAGCCCACATCCCCTGAAATAGATCAAGAAACTCATCACGGCCACTGCTGAAGTATTGGGAAGAGAAATGACACCAGTGCACAAGTGCGTTCTGAACCATAATGGCAAGCAGGGAGCGAGAAAGCCACCTGTCTCTTTAGAACATACTTTCCCTCAGGCCTGGGGCTCAGTAGAGACAGGAAGTTTCCGGCTGGCCTTCCAGCCCCCAGAGCTGCCCAGCCCAGCCCTGGCAGATGCAAATTGCCCCAGGATATGAGAGAGGAAAGAAGCCTTCCCCAGACCTCACCGTTCCTCATTCCAAACATCTTGTAAGTCCCAGGGGCACTGAAAGAGTTTGTCCGTGGCCAAACACAACTTCCTGTTTCTAAGAAAGGGAAGAAAAAAATAGTTGAAAGAGTTTTTGGACACAGGAGATTTCAAGTTTCTGTAAATGCGAATGAATCAGACACATGTGGAATGAATTTCTCCGGAAGTAAGAAAAGATGCTGTGAGTTTCTCTTGCTGGACCAGAAAATAGGAAAAGGGTAGCTGGGAGGGGAGGTGCGTCAGAGGCTGCAAGGAGAGAGGCCATGTGGACGTGGGATGGAAGAGAGGGTCCCATTGGTGACAGGGTTCAATGAGGCTGCCCTGAGGCCACATCCTGAAGCTGCTTGTTACTCAGAACTGCTCCACCTCTGAAGACCTACATCAAATCTCCTCCTCCCCAGCCACAGCTTCCCATCTTCCCAGATCTTTCTCATAAATGCATCCTTCCCCATGCCCTGGCCACCCCACACGTGTCTTTCCCCATCTGTCTTCCCTGCCCCTCTGTCTCTAGTTCTTTCCCTGTGCTGCTTGGGCTCCACGTTCAGTACCTCCACCTCAGTCTTGCCAATGTTCTCGGTGTCTTTGCCCCACTGACTCTCTGTGCTGCTCAGCAGGCAGAGCCTCACTCGGCACCCATTCACCCCTCCCCACCCTCTCATGTCATCCTGCCAATGAGCAGATCCACACCCTGGGGGAATCCCAGCCCTGAGCACGCAGGTGCCACGGTAAAGTTATGGCGTTCAATGGAAACTGTCCCCCAACCTGAGCAGGCTCCCCTCTCAGCTCTACCACTGGTCCTCCATGGAACTATTCTGCACTTCCCATGCTCCTCCAGCTCATGGCCCTGACACGCTTCACTGTGAGCAAACAACCTCACCTCCACTGCTAAGTGGAGCCCAGCACTGTATCTCTTATCATGGAAGGGAGAGGGGACACCAGCTCACCATTAACAGGCCATGTATAGACACGAATCTAGAGAAACATTACAGTTCTGCCTTATTTTGGATCCACAGGCATGTTCCAATCTCTGTCAAGTCCATAGGAGAGTGAAGACTCGGAAGATAACTCCTCCCCCTGATTAAATGAATCCTCCAGCTCTCTGAAGGGTACCATACAACAGGTTTAAACACCTAGGTCTTAAAAAAAAAAAAAAAAGCCAGGCGCAGTGGCTCATGCCTGGAATCCCAGCATTTGGGGAGGCTGAGGCAGGCAAATCACTTGAGGCCGAGAGTTCAAAACCAGCCTGGACAACACGGTGAGACCTCCTTTCTACAAAAAATACAAAACTTAGCCAGGGCTGTCCCAGCTACCCAGGAGGCTGAGGTGGGAGGATCACCTGAGCCCGGGGAGGTCAAGGCTGCAGTGAGCCGTGATCCTGCCACTGCATTTCAGCCTGGGCAACAGAGCCAGACCCCTTCTCAAAAGTAAATAAATAAATACACACCCAGGCTCCCTTGTGGCCCAGCTTCTCTACCCCATCCTCCTTGTTGCCCCTTCGGTTTCCACACTACTAGGAGTCTTGGGCGTGACCCTGACCTGGTCAGTCAGTCCCTCAGTTCTTTCCAGTTCCACTGTTAGATAGAGAGGGCTCTTCAGATCCCAAAGGTGGGTGAGGGGAAGGGGAAAATCCCTCACAGGGACAAGGCCAAGGACACCACACCTAAGAGAGTAGGCTTTGCACAGCACTTACCGTGGCTCCTGCTAGCCCATCTCCGGTGTGTTAGGATGTGAAAAAATGTCTCCCTCTTCTCCATCTGGAGTTACATTACCAAAAGCCCAGCCTACAAATGTGCCAGATTTCAGGAAGCAGGACAGGGTGAGGAAATAAAAAAGCTCCACTGGAAAATGAAATCATTTAACTTCAATAACTCTGTTCATTTCTTACCACCAATCCTGAAGTCTTGCTTGTAGCTACAGATGCTCCTCATTTTACGTGGAGTTACATCCCCGATAAACCCGTCGAAAATAACATAAGACTAAAATGCGTTGAATATCCCCATAAACCCATTGTAAAGTCAGAAATGTGTAAGTCGAATCATCATAAGCCCAGACACTTCGCTTACAATAGGGTTACATAGGGATAAACCTATCATAGTGAAATAATTGATTGTAAGTTGAATCATCGTAAATTGAGAGCCATCTGTATATCCATTCTTTCTAAAAATCTATCCTTTCTCCTTCTGCTTCTGTTTTGTAATGCGGTATTTTCCCACTGTCAAAACTAATCCCTTCTAGATACTGCAGCCCTCCACCTGCCCAAGGCGCTCAGCCCCTCCACAATCCCTCCCTTCCCAAAGACTCAGTCCCTCCCTCGCTGCTGACAGCACACAGGTGCATCTTCTCACTCCTGTATTTCACAGCCGCATCTCTCCACTCCCACCTGGCTCCGAGTCCCTGCTGCTCTTCCAAAGTACACAACTTCTCTCTCCAGACATTCACCTATTCTCTTCCCTCTTCCTGAAATGTTCCTTTTCCTCTTTCTTCTCTCCCCACTTTAACACTCTCCTACTTATTCTCCAGGTCCCAGATTAAAGGTCATGCCCTCAAAGAAACCCTCATGTTAGGTTAAGCACCCTCATGGTGCTGTGCATCTAGTTTTTTGGGTTTTTTATTTTTGGTTTTTTTTTTTTTTTTTTTTTGAGATGCAGTCTCGCTCTGTCCCCCAGGCTGGAGTGCAGTGGCGCAATCTAGGCTCACTGCAACCTCTACCTCCTGGGTTCAAGCGATTCTCCTGCCTCAGCCCCCCGAGTAGCTAGGATTACAGGAGCCTGCCACCGCACCTGGCTAATTTTTGTGTTTTTAGTAGAGGTGAGGTTTCACCATGTTGGCTGGGCTGGTCTCGAACTCCTGACCTCAAGTCATCCACCCACCTCAGCCTCCCAAAGTGCTGAGATTACAGGCATGAGCCACCGCGCCTGGCCTGCACTTCACTTTTCAAATCCTCAGCACGCTAGGCGCCTTCCGTCTTTGCTGCTGGACCACACACTGTGAGTCCCAAGCCACACCTCATCTGCATTCGCACCACTGGTGTCTAGCCTAGAGCCTGCCATACAGCAGGCCCGGAAAAGAAATGATCACATTCCCTTTCCCCTTTAAAAAATATATTTCCACTCACCCCCATTCCTCTCTGCTACCTCTGTGCTCCTTCCACAGTCATACTTGAGAGAATTGCTCCCCTCCTCACACCCTAACAAGCCAGCTCCCCACACCACTGCCCATGGGGACAGTGTTGCCAAGGTCATCGATGACCCTGTGTGAAGTCCAGCAGGACTGCCTCAATGCTGTGCCGACATCCCGGCCTCCTCTCCTATCCCTAAGTCACTGAATTCCTCGGGGTTCTGTTCCCTCTTCCTGGCTGACTCCATCCACCCCCATGGTTTCCATTTTTTTCCTACCTGCTAATTACTCCCAAGTTTAAATCTGGAGGCTGTGTCAGGGGCCCCCACGCCCACCTCATGTTTGGAGGTTCTCTGGAAGGACTCCCGGGACTCAGCACGCAGCTGTGCTCATGGCGAGGCTTTATTCTTTTGCTGCGGTGAGGACACATGGCTGGATCATAAGGGTCCAGGGCACAGGCAGAGCCTAAAGGAACCTATGTGAGGCTTCCTTAGGCTTTTTCCCTCCCACGAGGGTCCCACAGAGCCCACTGTCCCCCCACAAAAATGCAGCAAAGCACGTGTGACATTTCTGCCCAGGGAAGCCCAGCAGAGACTTAGCGCCCAAAGGTCTTCCCTGGGCACTGGGCACACTGGCACCCTCTGCGTAGCAAAATTCTATACTCTCAGATGAAAGTAGGTGTTGGGCATAAATGGTACTGTCTGCACAGACAGTCTAGCCATGGGGAACCACCTTATCAGTTAACCGTTACCTGGGGATGCCCTGAGAGCCAAGTTCCCAGATGCCAGCCAAGGGCCAACCTTGCAGGCAGGTGTTTCTATGAACAGCAGTGTCAGGCCTGTGGCGATAACCCCTTTCTGCACAGGCTGGGTGTGTTTCCAACCAACTTTCCACCTGACTCAATTTGTGCAAAGTCAAACTCACTCTCTTCCTCCCAGCTATTACACCTATGACCTGTCTTCTTTTTTTTCTTTTTTAGAGAGAGTCTTGCTCTGTCACCTAGGCTGGAGTGTGATGGTGCGATCATAGCTCACTGTAACTCCTAGGCTCACGTGATCCTCCTGCCTCAGCCTCCCCAAGTGCTAGCATTTCAGGCTTGAGCCACTGCGCCTGGCCAGGACCTACCTTCTGTTTTCCCTTCTTCTCCACGCCTCCCATCCACTGGCCCTCAAATGCAAACTCCTCTCTCCATCTCCATTGCTGCTGCCTACGTGGGGGCTCTCCATCCCCTCACCCAGCATGGCTTCAACAGCCCTCTCCCATTTCACTTTACATCCCTCTAATCCCATCCTCTCATTACTCAGATCTTTTGAACATGAAAATTGAATCATTTCACTTCTCCATTGAAAACTCTTTGAAACCCTTTAATGGCTTCCAAATGCACTAAGAATTTTTTTTTAATCCAAACCTCTTAACAAGCACCTACCAACTTCCATTTTTGTTTAATGTCACTCTCTCCCTCTGGTGACACTTTCTTTTGTCACTTGCTCACCAAGCCCCTTCTCACTAAGTGGATTCCCATATGCCAGTCCCAAGCCTGGGATGCTCTGTCTCCTGCTTCCCCCTGGCTTCCCCAACTCATCCTTAGGGTCTCAAGTTGATGATCACGGCCTCAGAAAGTCCTCTCCTGTCTCCTCCAATCTAAATGAGATCCCTGTAACTATCATAATTAACAACTTTATGTATCTTATGTCGACTGTTCTTTTTCTTTTAGTTTTTTTGTTTTCTTTGTTTGTTTGTTTGTATTTTTGAGATGGAGTACTGTTCTTGTTGCCCAGGCTGGAGTGCAATGGCACGGTCTCAACTCACTGCAAGCTCCACCTCACAGGTTCAAGTGATTCTCCTGCCTTAGCCTCCTGAGTATCTGGGATTACAGGTGTCCACCACCACGCCAGGCTAATTTTTGTGTTTTTAGTAGAGACGGGGTTTCGCCATGTTAACCACACTGGTCTCAAACTCCCGACCTCAGGTGATGTGCCCGCCTCAGCCTCCCAAAGTGCTGGGATTACTACTGATCATTTAATCCTTCCCCATCCACCCCACTAGACTGCAAGCTCCATGAAGGCAAGGACTCTTTGTTCACTGCTGGATATTTGGAGCCAACCTAGTGCTGGTCATGTGGTGATGCACTGCCTCAGTTAGCTTAGGCTGCTGTCACAAAAAGCCACCAACTGCATGGCCTAAACAACAGAAAGTTATTTCTTATAGTTCTGGAGGCTGGAAGTCCAAGCTCAGGGAGTCTGCATGGCTGAGTTCTAGTGAATGCTCTCTTCCTGGACTGCAGATGGCCTCCTTCTCACCGTGTGCTCACACAGCCTTTCCTGCATGCATGTGTGTGGAGAAGAGACAAGGAGCTCTCTGTAGTCTCTTCTTATAGGGGCACTAATCCCATCCCAAGGGCCCCACCCTCAGGACCTCATTAAACCTAATTATCTCCCAAATGCCCCAGCTGCAAATAGTGCCACATTGGGCATCAGGGCTGCAACATATGAATTTTGGGGAGACATAAGTCAGTCCATAGCTAATGATCTCAGTGTTACGAGAAAAAAATGAGTGACTTGCTGACAGAGAAGTGTCTCTAAAGTGCATATCTAATCTCGTCACTTCTTTCCTCAAAGTTTTTCAATAACTCCAACTGCCTTAGAAGTCCTGAAGTCCTCTGCTCAGCATCTGGGCTTGTGGTAATCCAGCTTCGGGTTACCCTGGAGTTACTTATCGGCCTGAAAAGTCTGGCTTTCTCATTCAGGAGGGTGCCCAGAGTTCATGTCTGTTCAATAGCCCCTGCCTCCTGGAGGGCTGCTCCTCTGTCTGCAGCATTGGCGCCACTGAACCTCGTCCACAGCTCCCTCAAGGCACGCTCTCTGCAGCCCGAGTAGTACCTCCAAGCATCAGAGTGAACAGATGCAAAAAACTGTCAGAAACATTTGCTCCCAGAGCTGAGAAGCTGCTGAAAAGAAGCCTCATCCTGATGGAAGGCAGAGGCACGCCCACATGGAGCTGGACCTGAGTCTCCAAAGAGAAGAGACTATTCTGAGATGAACCCAGAGCCTATCCGTCAGCACTGGGCATCACCACTTATGAAGCAGCTTACCCACCCTTGAGAATGTCCCCCACCTGCTGAGCACCACAAGACCCGGTGTGAACTGGCATAGCCTCAGCATGTCTCTGAGTGTCCCTCCCAAGCTCTAGGAGTGATTAATGGGTCAGCATGGCCCATAGTGAACTCTCCTTAAATGTGCATTCCTTTCCTCTCTTCCTTTTGCCCGGCTTGAAAGCCTATCCCTTGACTTCCACATCAAGCATGTGCTTTGGGTCAGAGGCTTCCAGTCCTGGACCTCCTCCCCAACACACTTTCTCCTGCTCCCTAGACAACTGGCATTGCCCTGATTCTGCTGTGCACCATCCCAGTGGCTCACTATGGATAAATTGGTCCATAATTCCCTGATAGCCTCACTCTATCTGGTGATGAAAATAAAATCTGGAGGAGAATTTGCTAGAACTTCAGCCTCCCACCAATTGAGAGCTGACTTTGACATCACATGTATGCTAAAGAGTCAGCACGTATTAGAAAAGCAGCAGGGCAGAGAGATAGACGGGCTGGTTTTGGGTTTTGTCTTTGTCATGCACCAGTTAGGTGACCTTGGGTGAGCCATGCAGTTAGCTCCTCTGAGCCTCAGTTTCTTCATCTAGAAAATGTCCTACCAACCTCAAAAAATGTGTGCAAAAATCAAATCAAAGAATACTATGTGACAGTGGTTTGCAAATTACAACACACTACATGAATATAGGAAATTCAATACCTTATGTCCTTAGAAGATTGGGGGCATCACTTGCGGGAACAGTATTTTGCTTATCACGAGAACCCTGGGTTGGAAAGGGGTCTAGGCAGACAAAGAGAAAGAAAAGCATAAAATTACCTAATTCAGTGAACACCAAAATTGGTAGCATAAATTCTGTGCATGCTGGCAAGTTGGAGGGAATTAGGAGGAATGAAAAAGCAGACCTGGATGTGTTTGGCTCAGTGGTGTGGAACTTTGGGTCCAGTGCCAGCCTTGGCAGAGATGTGAAGTGTAGACTACACTCCTCTCTCCTCTGAGCCCTGAGCCTTTGGGAAATAAACACAAGATGTGAGGATCAAAATATCAGCTTTATTTTTTATAATAGCAAAAGACTGGAAATGACCTGATGCCCATCTGTACGGGACTACTTAGATAAATTACGGAAATTCACTCAACAAAGTACTATGCAGCCATGGCCAGGCGTGGTGGCTCACCCCTGTAATCCCACAGTTTTGGGAGGCCAAGGAGAATGGGTCATCTGGGTCAGGAGTTTGACACCAGCTTGGCCAATGTGGTGAAATCCCGTCTCTACTAAAAATACAAAAAATTAGCTGGGCGTGGTGGTGTGCACCTGTAATCCCAGTACTCGGGAGGCTGAGGCAGGAGAATCACTTGAACCCAGAGGCAGAGGTTGCAGTGAGCCAAGATCATGCCACTGCACTCCAGCCTGGGCAACAAGAGTGAAACTCCATCTCAAAAAAAAAAAAAAAAAGATACTATTCAGCCATTTTAAAAAGTGAAAAACAGCAAGGTGTTGAACAATAGCTATGGTCTCCTACTGACTGTGGAAGAAATATGTGAGTGTAAGTACATATTTGTCTAAATGTGTATAAAACATGCCCAGAAGATGAGATGCTTAAACACAGGTGCATCTGCTGGGGAGAACTAAAAAGCTAGGGAAAAACAAAGCGGAGACAGTTCACTCTCCGCCTTTTTGCAACTTTTGAATTTTTTTTTTTTTTTGAGACAGAGTTTTGCTCTTGTCACCTAGGCTGGAGTGCAATGGTGCAATCTCGGCTCACTGCAACCTCTGCCTCCCAGGTTGAAGCAATTCCCCTGCCTCAGCCTCCCTAGTAGCTGGGATTACAGGCTTCCGCCGCTACACCTGGCTAATTTTGTTTAGTACAGGCGGGGTTTTGCTATGTTAGCCAGGCTAGTCTTGAACTCCTGACCTGAGATGTTCCGCCCATCTCAGCCTCCCAAAGTGCTGGGATTACAGGCGTGAGCCACCGCGCCTGGCTGCACCTTTTACATTTTGAACTGTGTGACCATGACTGCATTATTGCGTGTATGCATGTGCCTGTGCATGGGTGCATGAATCCACTTTATTATTGGACTCGATAAACATCATGGACTTAAAGCCAGTGAGCTCCCTGCTCCCTAATATTCAGGTATCCACTGGAAGGTCAGACTGTGTGACCTGCTCATGGGGAAATTAAATCCAGACAGCAAGGTGAAGGACCAGAGTAACAGAACGCGTGCTGTCAGTCCCTGCAAAAGAGAACCAAGGGGTCATGACAGCAGCATCCTTCTCCCACTCCTGACTGTGGAAGAGAAGAACTGGCAGTTTCTCCAACCGGACGTCCTCCCCCTGCTGCATCAGTGTGAGGAGAGGGAGGATGAAGGCCCTCCAGAACGGTACAGGAAACGTTAGCATCAAGTGGACGAGGGAAAGAGGCGGCACACGCCGAATGCTGCAGCTGGGGAGGGGTATACTGGGAAGGAAGCTGAGGAGAGGCTTCGAGGTGGGGCTGATGGGTGGTGAGAAGGAAAAGAGGTGTCGGGGTCTCAAGGATCACACTCTTTCGTGAGGGCCAGGAAATGAGAGGGTACTGCTGGGTGCGACCCAAATATTGTGTTCATTAGTGAGACCGGAGAGCAAAAGGATGCAACCTTTGTTCTGGCACAATGAGTAAGGATGCGGACACGGTGGGGCCGTGACAGACCATCACCAGGGCGCAATTCAGCTCGATTCTAAGGAGGTCCCTCCCTTTCCTGATTCCTCACTGTCCTCTGCCCACTCCCAGCCCCCACGGTTAGCAAAACCGCCCCGCTTGGCGTTCCAATGTTCTGTTTTACATTTGGCTTTGTTCAGCAGCAGCCTCTGTTTAGCCAGTTTCTGCTTGGGAGCCAAAACACCAAGAAACTCCACAAGAAGAGCAGAGCCTGGACAGGATCAGAAAATGCCAGAGATTTTGCCACCAAGCCTGCTCCACTGAGACTGCCAGGAGAGCTTTGCAAATGGAATCAATCTGAACGCAGCTGATGAGGAACATCTGAACGGAGGAAGCCAGGACAAACAGAAATCACTAAGTTTCCCACTGCAGTGGGTTGGAGTGGCTTCCCCAAAACTACTTGTGTGCATTTGTCTTTCTATCACAAAGAAGACTCGTGCTGCTTCTTGGAAACCTGTCCAGCTCGTGATGATGGACCCTGACCTCATGAACTGTGCTTTCCCTCAGTCCCCCTGCCCTTCTATGCCCTAGTCCGCCGGTGGTTCTTTAGTTTTGTTGCCGCGTTTGATACATTTTGATAGCAGACAGGTGGGAGGTAGATTTTGGTCACAGTGTGGTGTCTCCTTTTCCCCAGAATTTGAAAACGTCAGAAAGCCTCACCCACTTCCTAAGTATGTCTTCCCATCCCCAAACAAAAGCCCCAGATATCTTCCGAATGTAGTCAAGGAATTTGGAGTGTGCTCCTGCAGTTTCCTCAGGGACACATACCTGAGGCCAAGCAAGTGGTGGCATCATTCATTGTAACATGTCTCAGATGATGTTAAAATAATGGAGTGTAGCTGGCTGCCAAGAGCTCAGAAAGAAAGGAGCTCAATTCTAAAACCGGGACAGTGCTTACCTAGCGCATTTTGAGGAAGAGAACACTCGGCTTCTGACTAAGACATGCTCTTGGATCCTAGACCACTTTGTCTTCAGAGTGGAAAATCAGAATACTCTCAAGAGAAACTAGCTTTAGGCTGGGTGCAGTGGCTTGTGACTATAATCCCAGCATTCTGAGAGGCAGAGGTGGGAGGATGGCTTGAGCCCGGGAATTTGAGACCAGCGTGGGCAACATGGTAAAATCCCACCTCTACAAAAATTTAAAAACTTAGCTAGATGTTGTGGAATGCACCTGTAGGCCCAGCTACTCTAGAGGCTGAGGCAAGAGGATTGCTTGAGCACAGGAGGTGGAGGCCACAGTGGGTCAAGACTGTTCCGCTGCACTCCAGTCTGAGCAAAAGAGTAAGACCCCATCTCCAAAATTATAAAAAAGAGAGATATCAACCAATTTTAGATAAATATTGATTCGGCAGTATCCAGCTTCCTTCCCCCGCCTGCATATCCACCTCATGGCCTTCTCAATGCTAATGCAGAGCAGCTGGCCAGCTGCAATCATCTGAGCAGACAGTGGCATTCATCACATGGACATGGTGCTTTATCAGCCAGGCACTCGACGTTTAGCTGGCATAAATCTGGGTAAATGCCAAATCAAGATCTGGCATTGGCAAAGCTTTGGCCCAGACCTGGGACTGAAGGTGATTGATGATTCTGTGATTGGATAGTTAGGAACCCCTGAGTTTAGGAACACAAGTGACACGTCCAGAAACAAGCCACTGGTCAGGGAGTTGCCCTGTTTCTTGGGTTCTTTGAAGAATAACTTAGCTATGTGTTACTCTGAACATAAACATTATGCTGACCTTGATCCAGGAATTTAAACAGTGTCATTTAATGTAAACACTACAAATACCTTCTTGCTGAAGTGGTCTGTTTTCAGGATGGGTTAGGGTTTCTTCTGTACAAAAGTACTTTGGGGCATTGGATTTTTAAATTCACAGTCAGATCTGCATTTTTCTCGCATTTACATTGCGTGGCCTTCAGGCATTCTCACCAGCTTCTAAGGTTGAGGGAGCCCTCTGCTGATGGCATGGCTGTAATTTCATAGCACATAGCAAGGAAAACTGGATGAGGTCTAAAGAACTCCTGGATCTGAGAACTGTAGCCAGTCTCGAAACCTAGAGCAGGCTTTTGCTGTGAAAAGCCAGGCTCTAGAAACATCCTTGATTTCCTCAAACTCTCCCCATTATTTCAGGTTTTCTACTTTCAGGCAGTAGAAGAAAAAAAGGTCTGAAAGGAAAGCCATGTTGTATGCATTGAAAGCCTACACATTTTTGTGTGTACAAGCGCATACATGACCTTATACACATGTACACGCACACACACACACATATGCACTTCCGTTTTTACAATATACATACACATACACACACACACGCTGCAATAGCGGCATGATGGCCCACTGCAGGAAGACTTTGCGCTGTGTGTGCGTGTCCTAGAGGAAAGGCATGGGAAGTATATAAGTATACATGAATTCCAGAATCGTAGGACTGGATGGAACATTCGCCCTTTGTGGCATGTACAGAGGACAACTCTGACAAGGCCACAACTTAAGAAAGGAATTCTCCCCAGCGGCTGTGGCCTTGATGCTGGAGGTTAACAGCTTAACACCAGGGTGTGGTGCCCAATTCTGAACTCAGGAAATTAATGACGATAAGGGTGGGCTGCCTGCCAAGGCCTGTGGTGTGAATCCCAAGAGAAGCACCTTCTATTTTGAGACCTCCTCCGACCATGGCATGCTGTCCTCCGCTCTGATGCATGTCCCACCTCTGTGTGCTGCTTTTTCCAACTTTTATTCCTAAACTTTCCTGGGTTTCCAACCCATGGATAGTGACAGCAACTTATTCCCTGGCCCATTGATTCACCAAAAACAGTCATCATGTGGCATCAGGAATCAAATACCTGACACAGATGTCAATAGGAAGATGTCAATGCTATAACTCTTCCCTTGCCAAGAACATCAAAGGAAAGAGAGGGGAAATGGCAAACAGAGGTCAAACTAAGGCTGGACAAAAGGGGATAAAAGCACAATAAGGTTCTTTTTCTTGAGAGGGCTCTCCTGGAAAGGAAAAATAAAAAGTACAGTCTCGCACGACCTGGTATACCCAACTCTGCCAAATAACTGCACACGCCAAAGGGGCCACCCCTGGAAAATCAAAGGTCAAAAGATGCCACTCCTCTGCTCAGAAACCTTCAGTGACTCCATTACCTATAGAAAATCTACAGTCTTTAAGAGGACGTTGAAGGTACTTTGCATTTCCTGCCACAGCTCCTACCTACCCCAATACGTGTAGCTCACTCTCAGGTTGGCCCGTAGCCACTGTCACCTCATAGCTTTCCTGCTACTGTTCCTTTCTTCTCTGTTTGTCTGGGGCCTA